GGGGGGGGGGGGGCACGGTTAGAGAAGAAATCTTATTTTGGCAACATGCTGTAATTATAATGAATAACACTGCACATACTATTTATGATGTACAGTCTTATACATTACTTGAAAAATGATAAAACATGAATGATACAAAATAAAAACGCGATTATAATAAAATGATTAATAGTTAAGCTCGAGGTAATTTTGGCGAACTTGTCGATGGTAAATCGCTTCTCGGAAGCAAAGCAGACCTCCCGAGGGCAGCGTTGTCACATACGCGCGAAGTGAGTTGAATGACGATAACAAGGATTCGGGTCGTCGAAGAGGTTCCAATTAGATGCAGAAAGTTTTCACTTTCAAGACCGTGGGTTTGGGCGAGAGCGACAATACAATTTGGGGTAAGTCTCTTTCGTGTGCTGTTTTATCATCTCTTGTTTGTTTTTTACATGACCTTTACCTAATTGTCGTGAACACATGAAACACCGGTTTCGTCAGCATTGAAGGTTCTACACGGCTGAACTAGTATTAGTCCATAAGTTCAGAGAATTTAGTGACTTGTTCTTTATTGAACCCCACTACTCCTGCAGATTTGACAGTGGCAAAAGTTCCATAGGGACTGACAAGACCATGTCCGGGGGCCCCATGCTAAACCCCAAATTCAAAACAAAATAATAAGTCACTGTTTTATAAAATCATAGAAGAAATAAATTAACACCGTTTTTTACTCTCTCGGGCTCACTTCGTAAGAAGTTATGTAATCATGGGGTGGAAAACGGCGAATTTCTGGCAGTAATACTCTTATTGCCGGGCCCTGGTAACGAAATAAATTATTTTGCTATATATAGCAAATTACTTTATCTAACACGTGGTTTAGCCAGGATCCATTTTTGTGGGTCCTTAATATCGAAAAATCGATTGTGGCAAAAGGCTTGTCTGTCTTTCCGTCCGTCCGTCCGTCCGTCCGTCCGTCCGTCTATGGTCAATGCTAGCACGTAAATTGTTCAGCTGATTTTCTCCAAAATTGATATTCTGCGATCAAACTGAAGGGTTTGGGAGATTTAACCGAATAGTTTTTGCGGCTACTTTGCATGAAGCCTCGAAGACCTTTTAATTTTTTTTTTTCTTCAAAAATGGCTCATCGTTTTTTTATTAAACCTTGTTCTGGGATAGCGTAAAGGATGCTTAATAGCAGCTTATTTGAAACTAAGCAAAAGTGCAAGCCTCAGGTTCGTTCAAATCCAAGGTTTTTTAAAAAGTTCAATTTTTAGGGGTGTCTTCCTCCAACTCAGTTTTCCTCAATTAAATCTGTTCTTTAAAGACAGATCTTGAAGTAAGGTCCTGTTTATTTTTTTCGAAAATAAGAGTAGTTTTTGGGTAATTTTGCGCGAATTGTAGGCAATTTAAAACTTTTTTTCTCAAACATCAATATCAAGGGGCGATACAATATAGCGCTTCTCCCATTAACAGTAAACTCTGTATTTTCGAAAATTGCAACTAAAAAATTAATAATAGCGGTTTTTGCTTTAAAGTCTGTTCTAAAAAATTAGCTCAACTGAATCACAAACATGACACTACATAAATAATAAAATTGAACCACTCTTTCAGCTTCACAAATAAAAAGCCACAAAGATGCATTAGTATTTTTCAATTAACATCGAAATTCTAAGCAATTAGTGAACGCTATGCCTTAGTAGCAATGAATATTAAGCTCAAAGGGCTATGCCAAATTCAATGGGATTTGTTGGAGTGATCACGCTTTCGTTTTTATGCACTATTATGCAATAAAAGATGGGCACTAAAGCATTTTTAGACAGCCTCTAATAAAATCCATAACTTTTAGGACAGACACACCATACTATCAATTTAATTAAGTACAATTTCAACTTACAAAAAATTCAATTTTTAGCACTAGTACTAAAAGTGAGACAATCCTCAAATGTTGAGATAAAACTGTGAATGCAAACAAGAAATCAGTTCTTTTGCATAATGTCATCAGCTACTACTGACACTGATATAACTTAGTAGTACCCATTAAGTGATTTGAATCCCACGTACACCCAGAGGAAACCAAGGACCTGGAGCACTTGATAGGGGCCCCTTATTTCAAACAAAAAATTTCTTTCTGCTCCAATTCTTAAACAGAATTCATTTTTCCATGCATCAGAAATAATTTAGTGTTAAATTTGGAATAGAGATAAATATATTTTTCATTACTTTTGAATGAAGCAAAACGTCTGAGCCCCAATTATGTCGGGGTCTGAAGCAACTTGCCCCATATCCCCCCTCCCTCCACTTTCTGTATGCCACTGGGTATACCTACTTGAACATAAATTATATATATATATATAAATTTATAAAAATTTTCATTTTTCACATTTTTAAAATTCATGTTAAGGATAACAATATCTTCATAATTCTCAAAATTACCTTATTAACAAATGTCTTATATTAAGTTGTAGTTTAATGTATTAGTTTCTTTCCACTATTTATTAATAAAATGTATCACACTGGAGAGTTTTTATTTAATCTATTTAATTCTGGGAGATTATTTTGCAAAATACACAACATATTTATATGCTCAACCTCTGATATTGATTTTATAATGCATTAATTTTTTAAATACAATACACAAAATAATATAAAATTTAATTTAATTTACTGTTACTGCAAGACAAACCACAAATATAATAAGAACAATACTTTTAGAAATTCTTTATTTTAGGTCGTAATGGAAATATTTTTAAAGAAAATGTATGCATATTGTTACATGATTTTTCTCTAATTTCCATAGATCAAGCACTTTGGCATGATTGGTAGATCTGTTTAAGACTGTAGGGTATACTTAAAATATTAGAAGTTTGAGCCTCAGAAATCTATGTTGAATGCTTGTCACAGCTACTGGTAGTGTGAGAATAATTCTCAAAGCAATGAATACATTTGGAACATTATCCTCCAGGGACTACACTTACTTTAAGAAAAAGGTAATAGTTTGATTATTCAATATTTTAGTAATACCCAAGTATTTGGTACCACTAAAAATTTTTTAGGATTATCCAAATACACAGAGAAGGCCTCCATGTTTGATTTATCATTTCATCCTTAATCATTCATTTCTATCATCATCCATTCCATAGGAAACATTAGCAAACCACCAGTGTTATCATGTGCACAGAAAAGGGGAGAATTTTGAAGTCACCTACCCTACCAAAGCGAAGTAATAAAGTGTGACACTCATTATTTTCATATTCCCTTGACAACACATGTTTTCAATTCTATAAAAGAACTTTTGGATTGTACAGGATTTAAATGAAAATGTTTATCCACCTATTCATGTTATTTATTTTTTGTTCAATCTCCAGATTCTTTTTAATGATTTTTAAACTCTTAATATACAATGTTCTGTTTCTTCTGTTCATGTTAAATTTGTCATGGGGTGTATTTCTCTGCATTATTATTTTTGTAGTTATTCTGTTAGGTTTTGTAGATAACTTAAAATGAATTTATTTTTCTGCTTTATTCCTTTTTTATTTCATAATTTATTTAGGATGATATTTCATTATTCTTAATTGATTTTCTCAGTGTTTACTTCATGAAAAGTCTCAATACTTTTAGAAATAATTAATTTTTCATCAAAACACTAATTCTTATTATTTTAGTATAAAATTATACATAAAAGCTTATCTATTGCAAAATATTAATCTAATTTGAATTCTGAAGGAGTGAAATACAAACATATGAATGGGTGAAAACCAGAACGGAATAAGTGACATTTAATAAATTCTGAGAAATCTGTTTTTTTATTTCAATTTCACTGTAAAGTCATGGTGCTTTATATGATCATTAAAACTACAGCATTTCAATTGTTCATTAAAACCACAAAAATGCATTGCCTCAGAAATATAGTCCAAAATAAATATTTTTCTCAGGATTTATAAAATGTCACTTATACCATTCTGGTTTTCACTCATATTTCATATTTAAAAATATTCATGTTTAACAGCTAAGAGAAAATAAGCTCACTCCTATACATTCAGGCCTAAACTTCATTGCAGTTTAGTCCAGCTAGAGAAATTCACTTAATCTTAGAAAGTGATGCAATGAACATATGTTTACTTACCAGATTTGTAACATACTTCACTTCCTTCTGTATTCCCTTTGGCCACTTCAGGACATGATTCACATTCATTTGGATAGTTATCATCACTATGAAATTTGAGTAATCCCTTTTCATCGAACCATGATGGCCTCTCTGTATCAGGTTGAACGATGTCTATTCCACACGGACTTGTGGAAACAATTACAACACTATTTAAGCATATTGGAATTGCTACGATCATCCACACATTTAGTGAGACAAATTCAAAGAAAGTCATTATAAATGAAAGAACTTCTGAACAAATTTCCACTGCCTTTTTCTGGATATCTTCTCACAGCATCTAATGTTGGAGTAAATTTAGTATTAGTAAATTCATATATTGACAGTTCCTTTATATTTTCTTTTTTCTATTTACATATTACTGATATGTAAATAGCTCATTATTATCCTTAAAAGTAACACAAATATGAATAATTATTAGAAATGTGACATTCCTTATACTATTCTTAAACAAATATTTAAAAACATAATACACACCGTCTTGTTTTGAATTCATTTTTCATCTTCTGTCTTCAAGAAAACATAATTTCCAACATTGCAATAAATATCTAAATTCTTGCTTTGGAATTAATGTGCTTCTTTTAAGTCTTTTCTGTGACTAACATTTGGTTCTGAAAGTTTTATCTGCTAGTAGAATAGTGCTTACACTCACAATGGCTTTGATGTATCAAACATTTTAATCTTATCTGTATGATCAGGAGCTTCAGGTGAGATTGTGTAGAAACATTGATTTGCAGATCCTAAATTAAAAATAAATTATTCATAGGCAACCTTTAGACTGTAGATAAAATAGTAATAGTATGTCTGAATTGTGAATTTATTGATACATTTCATTATTTAAATTACATGAAATTAAAAGTTTTAAAAAATGTATTTATTTAGGTTGTAGAAGCTACCAAGTAATTTATTTTGTCTATGCATATGTTCACATGATATATTTTTAAGATAAATGTGTAAAATAATTATTTGTGTTTGAAACACCCATTTGATTCATTTGATGCAGGTCCAAATAAAATTTTAAAAATAATTACATATTTGCACGAAAACTCGTTTAACACAAATTTCGCCGTAAAAAAAACAAAAAAACAACAAAAAAAAAAAACACGAATTTTTACAGCACGAACTTTTATTTCGATTATTTCCGACTCTTGGAATTCTTGTTAACGAGGGTGTATTGTAATCGTTTACATTTCCCTCTCAGTTTTAATGCGTGCTTACGACAGTCTTTATTGTTTGGAAAGTGTTACTCAACGGCACTGCTAAGACTTATTTGCCGTACGTGTACCACAAAGAAGTCATGGCCATGCAAAACTGAATACTGCAAAGTAAAGAAAACAATGGGCCAACATGATTTAACATTGCTGTTGTCTTGCTTATTGAGAATGATTCCAAGACTATTTACTGAAAAGTTTCCATGAATTCCTACGAAAAAGAGAAAAACAACAACATAAAGTGTATTTGACATTTTAATTTCAACATGCAATTCAACATTTCACTTGTTCGTCAAATACTCACTTTTTGTTCTAGTTACGTAAACAACTAATTTTTCGACGTTTCTTTGTCAGTGTTGACAAAGCGGCGCTGTTGACGTAAAAAATGTGAATTGTTCATCTTAATAAATGGTTTGCTGTGTTTAGGTAGTATGCTTCTTGCCCCTAACGCTGATTTTTGATAGCGAAATAAAATTACTGTAGGGGTATTATCTTCTTTAATACTTTTGGTAGATGAAAGAAAATGGGTTTCAACAAAATATATTGTGCGAAAATTTGTTATCGCGGTTATTCTATTTCATTACCTCTTCAAAAAATATTACAATAAGAAAATTGTTTACTTGTAACAAATAAGGGTAGACCGATGATTTTAATTGTAGCAGGCGCGGAACCACGGGGAGGGAAATGTGCGACATTTCCCCTCCCAAAGTCATTAAGTTACTATTAATTTTAACTTGTCACGAAAGTTCGAAGCAAAACTATTTTCGTATAAACATTAAAACGAAAAAAAATAAATGTATCGCAACATGAGCTTATTTTAGCCTACGTCATTCTACATAATCTGTAATATGACACATTTTATCAAAACGTTTTGAAAAAAAAAATCCCATCCCAAAATTTGTCTTAGGTTTCGCCCTTGATGACGCACTATACTCTCACCGGGAAGTGACTATTGAAAAATGCTTCGGTATAATGTCATTCATACAAAGTGAAGCTCTCAAGACGAAGGATAATGCAGAGAGGTGCTTTTCTATGTTGTTGCTAAAGTCTGTGGAAATATTTCGCGACCGAGTCGTTCCTCTCTTTGAGGCGAAGCGCGCGCACGGCACGCGTGATTGCTGCACACGCACTGCTCCGCTCAATTGTTCCTCAATTGCCCTCCCTTCTTATTCAGTAAGAAGCGGTCAATAGCAATCCTGTAAAGCCATTTGATAATGAAAACCTGATAGCTATGCAAGTTCAAGTCCGTCCAGATAAAACTTTTTTCTTATCTAATCTTTTCGCTTGTATTGTATTTAGCACTTATAATGATGTGACGACATGGTACTGTTTTTATATTCGCTGGAATATGATCTATTGACACGATAAGCCTTGAATACTGTTCCCAAAATTGTACGATTCCGGAAGATGAAATCATCATACAAATGACATTCGATCGATTACCGTACTCTAATAATTACGGAATGGAAACTGAATACCAAAAACGAAAAATAATTCAAACTTTTTTAAATGTAAGAAAAAGTCGCGAAAAAAAAGTTTCTGCATTTATTTATGCAATATAGTTGCAAATACAGTTGCCAACATACCTACCTAATTTTTACTTTGGAGATTCAAAGTTGTTGCAAGTCGCCTTTTACTTGCATATTGCAAGGATATATTGCACTTGATATATTGCCAAGTTCATTATGTCGAAAGGTTGTCTCAAGAAGCACAATAGTGCCAATAGACATTTTCTCTCAGGGGCAAGTTGAGTTTTGAAAGGGTTCGATGACCCTAGTTCTCGTGACTTTGACAGGAAAATTAAATGAAGGTTCATTTACTGATAAATGTGAAAAAAATGTCGATGAAACTAATCGCTTGCCGCAAAAAGTATTGCCATTGAAAGAATGCCGCCCAAATCACGAATCGCTTCTCATGCAAAAACGTCTTTCAGATGCGTATACTACGTTCTGAGGTCGGGGTTAAGGAATATTTCTTTTAAAATTGGGTTTTTGACACCGAAAAATTGATAGATGACAAAACGTCCCTCTGTCCGTCTGTCTTTCTTTCTGTCCGTCTGTGGTTAATGCTGGCGCCTAAACCGTTTAGCCGATTTTCTTCAAAAATGATATATTTCAATTGATCTGGATGAACTTGTGGTCTGAATTAAGTTTTATTGTTTTGTTTTTTGGCAAAACGTCTGTCCGTCTGTGGTCAACGCTAGCGGTTAAACCGTTGAGCCGATTTTCTCCAAACTTGATATTCCCCAATCGATCTGGCTGATGTCGCGGCCCCTGGAATTTGAAAGCGATATTTTAAATTTTTAAATGAAGCTCCACGGACTTTTTCAAAATTTTCGAAAAAAGGCTCCAATATTTCTGATTAAATTTTGCGGTTTAATAGTGCAAAAGACGTTTAAGAGAATGGTGGCAGATATATTCGGTGATATACCCGATGTTTTGAAAATTGCAAAAATAATTTTTAAAAGTACAAAATTAAAGATAGAGATATTTGGCTCAGACAAATACTGTTGTACAAAATTACCTCTTTAGAAAAGATCATGTACATTAAAAAAAAAAAAAACGAATAGTTTTAGCGTAATGTGGACTTGAAGTTTACCAAAAAAATTTGTCAAAACCCGCTCCAAATTTTTCTTTAATTTTTTTCCGCGTATGTAATAAGGGACGGTACGGAATATGGTGCTAGTCCTATTTTCAGGTATCGGTCTTTTTTTTTAAATTTCATAAGCATTTCAAAACTTGCAGAAGAAGATAGAGATGTTTGCATCAGATAAAGTTTGATGTACACAATTAGCTATTTAAATAAATAAATAAAAAACTAGTGGTGCTATAGAATGGTACAGACTTTCTCTCCCTAGTTAGTTTTCTATTATTTCTACTCTTGCCCAGCTTTTCCGATAGGCGTAATTTTCTTCTTGCCTGTTTTCTTTTGTCACCCAAATAACAAACATTTTTTTACATTTTCTTAATGATTGGTCTTCGTAATGCTAGAACTGAAACCACCACTTATTACTATTATAGAAGTATTTATTACGACGTAACTGGATAGCCGAGTAGCTAATTCGGAGGTAAGGCCTACGGTCTTCGGAGGACAGGTTGGCTGGTTTGAGTTTTTGTTGGGGACTATTATTTGTGACAATTCTGTATTGTCGCAGGAAATAATTGATAATTCTAGAAACTCTATTGAACTATTTGAAGCAATTCTAATTGCAAATACTATTAACCAAGATAAATAAACTGAAAGGGTCTGCATGTGATTTTCGAATTTTCAACTTCTAAACATTTTTTCACATCACTTATCGGATAGAACGGATGAACCATCAAATTGTTGCCTTTCAGCACTTATGACTATTATAAAAGTGCCAATTCTATTCATAACCCGGGGGGCCTAAATGGTTAAATGTCGGGTTTTAGAGGAAAGGGCTGCTGGTTCGATCGTGGTTGGAGGGTGATTATTTATCACAACTCTCTGTTGTCGCAGAATTGAGAGTTTCAGAAACTTTATTGAAAATCTTTTGGAGCAATTCTATTCACATATACAATATATTAAGATTCTAAATGAACTGGAAGTGTTTGGATGTCACTTTCGTATTTTGAAATTTTAAACAAGTTTACAACTCTCTTGTCCTATTTGTAAAACGTATGTCACATCAAATCAATTGTTCAATATAATATTCAAATCAAATACAATATTGCTGAGTATTTAGAAACATTACGAGACAGTAGTACCACCGGTAGCACCACTAGTTTTTGTTTAATTTCCCCCCTGGTACACGAAGGAACTCTTACAAAATTGCGCAGATTTCATTTTCGTTGCATTTGGTCTCATTTTGAAGGTAAACATTTATACACTTATTTTCTGAACAGACCATTATATCAATTAGTGGACCATCTCATGCTCAAATAATTTGAAAATTTTTTCATTTGTTAGCAATTTTTATTTAGATATATTGTAAAAATCTAGTGCACGTAAGTTACGTAATTTTCAGTTGATTAAGTCCGTACACAAAAAGGACGTGATTTAACAAACAGGCCAATAATTGCCACTGTCTTTCATTGCAGACTGCATTGTTTTCAAGTGAATTGTACGATAATACGAATCTCATGTACTTATATCAATTCTAATGCTAATTTACAAGAAGTTATTTAATTAGTTGATGATAACTATTTATTGTTTTGTTTCAGTGAATGTCCCTCGCGATTTAGAACGAGTTCCTTTTCACGTCAAATACACTCCCCCACCCCCTCCAGAACCTGGACAAAGGCGTTTGCCAGAAGAAATAGAAGCAGAGCTCAAGAAACAGGAAGAACAGCTTGAAAAATTACCACTTGTGAACATCGGGCAAGTTAGATTTGATGTTTTATATGAACATTTGCACGTCAGATTGCAGAATCAACAGATGATCTTCACCAAATCTGTGGCTGAAACGTACTCTCAGAGTTTGAAAACAATCTCTTTTCGTTCGTCATTCGGCATTTAACATATAAAATCGTTAGTCGCAAAGAAAATATCGACATTAATTATATTTCAACATTCAAAAAAACATAATAAACTGGCTGTATTTCATGATCGCTTGTACACTGTTGTTTTCTTTTTCTAAAACTATAAATGAAAATAATATTACAATGAATTAGACTAACATATTTTTAATTTCCTTATTTTGCGTACATTAGAAATATGAAAAAGAAATTTAGATAGTTCCTGCCGAGATAATATTTTTCATTCAAATACACTCCTCCACAAAACTTATGAATTATGGAATTAACAAAATGTTATTGTAGAATTATGTTCAAAAGTCAAAAGTCGAAATACGTATTTCTTTAATAAAAATATTATAAGTTCAAATTAGAAGAAAACTAGAGCATGAAGAACAAAACCGTTTTCACATTTGGAATCAGCAGATCAAAATTATTTAGATACATTAAAAAGTCGCATGCAACTGAAATTATGAAAAAAACAAATTGCTGACCAGTGTAATGTGACCTTCAATTTGTATTTTATATTTCATAGGCTTCCTGAAAACGTACTTTGGTTTGAACCTCCCACTGTAGTAATATGGAATGATACTGGCTATTGGTCTACTGCTGATTGTCATGATTTCAAATTTAATGAAGATAAACAGGTTGGTATACTTATCAGAACCTTGTGTCAGTCTTGTGTGGTATTGTTAAAATATATTCATACTGTTCTCCAGATTCTCACCTTTCGATTGGGGAGATTTGGCCCTTTGGCTCTGGCTGCCTACAGGTATTGTAACCTCCCGTACCAGACATGGGAACTCAAACCTGATTTGAAAAGCAAAGGAGTTTTACTTAACATCACAGCGAACATAGTCATTGTGGAATTTACTGTGAAGGTACGCATAATCTGCTCCTAAAAGATAATAGAATATTTTTGTTGTTGTTTTTTGTTTAGTGGATGTGTGCAAAGGAAAAAAAACATGTTTAGTGACTTTAGTGAATGACACATATTGTATAACGGTCAGTCAAATGAAAACGAAACAGATTACATAAGGAATATGGCACGGAAGGTGGTAACGCAGATAGGTGTGTGTAGAAGTGCACTCTATTGGGAATCGAAATGAACGTTCACCGCTGTCATTTGTTTGTTAGACTTGTTTGTAGACGAAGTGAGATCCACGAGTCTGTGCGCGCCTGATATCACTGTAGAGCATTCGCGGCTTGTAAGATAGTGCCAGTGAGCCATGCCTCCACCGACAAGAAGGAAGGAAAAGAAAACTGTCACCACAAACGTGTGTATAAAATATTGTTTCTTCAAAATATTGTTCTTGATAATAATTCATTTGAACGAGCGCTTAGTCATTTGATGCTCTATCAGTACTCTCTTCAAACGCACAGGGCGTGGTACCCCCGAGTTCGACCACTGACTAGAAGTGCTTTCTCAAGTAGGGGCACGCCAAGCGGGCTCCATATGAGATCAAACCTTTATGACAATCGAGAACTAATGGCGGACTTTGGTATCTTACTGCACTTAATCTTTTATTCATTCACTACTGAATTGGTAACAAAATGCTTTACATTTACCATTTTAATTATGAACAAATATTTGATGTTCCAGGATGATTTAGTTTGTCTTAGTCAGCTCCAAAATGGAGCTACAGCTGCTCTCCAGGAAATAGTGGGTATATATTATAAGCCCCATGTTTTGCAAAGGGTAAGAGATATTGTATCTACGAAGGACGCCTTTTATGTTTCGGGATTTGGCAACCCCGGTGTTGCAATCTGGCAACTGACAGCTCTATGCGTTAAAGTTGATGTTTTGATGTTATACGTACTCAGAAACGTTTTGACATACGAGCGCTATTTGTGTGTTGTTACAGTAACTTAAAAGATTCATCTTGGCCAAAACTGGAATTAAATCGTGAACATTTTCGTTCGATTATTTTTTACAACTTTCGATGTGGATTAACTCAGCAACAGTGCATGGATGAACTTAATTCAGTTTTTGGCGATGAAGCTCCATCATGGACCGTGTTTATCGATGGTATGGTGAATTCAATCGTGGGTCGTAGTTCACTCCAGGACGAAATTTCGCGAAGGTCGTCCAAAATCAGTTGTTGTTCCGAAAAACCATTGATACTGTACGTGAACTGATATTGCAAGATCGTCATGTGACCTATCATGAGATTGAGACAACCTTAGGCATTAGTGGGACCAGGATAATTCAATATTGCTTGAATAATCACAATTTGTAAATCGCTCAAAAAAGGCTCGTGTCGATTGGTCGAAAGAAATGCTCAAAAAATACGATCGCGGTGCTTCGAAACACGTCTATGACATTGTGACAGGTCATGAATCGTGGATTTACGCGTATGAGCCCGAAAGTAACATTTAGTCGACTGTATGGGTGTTTCAGATGAGCAAAATCCAAACAAAAGTTGTTCGCGCACGAAGCACTTCCAAACAGATGGTCGCCTGTTTTTTTCGAGAAAAACTGGACATAGTCGCAACCGTACCACTAGAACAACGCAGAACAGTCAATTCTGAGTGGTACACAACGATTTGTTTGCCAGCTGTCTTCCAAGAAATCAGGAAAAACCAACCGCCGAAGACGGGCCACTCTTCACCACGACAATGCGAGCTCTCACACATCGGCTCAAACAACTGCATTTTTTGAGCAACAAACATAGATTTGATGAGTCATCCGCGTATAGTTCTGACTTGGCACCGAATGACTTCTTTTTTTTTCCGTACGTAAAAAACAAACAGAGAGGTCAACGTTTTTCGACCACTGAAGAAGCGGTTGCTGCATTCAGAATGCATGTTTTGGAGATACCTCAATCAGAGTGGTAAAAGTGCTTCGACAATTGGTTCAAACGTATGCAAAAATGTATAGATCTTCATGGTGAATATTTTGAAAAGCAATAAAGTGATTTCCGATGATTAATATTTGTTCTTGTTCTCTAATCCTGAAATATAAAAGGCAACCCTCGTATTATTCCAGATGCACTAACTTCCTGGCACCACAATTAAACACACAATCGAAAATTATTGATTCTTTCTTAATGATTCAGTTAAATACTCTACTCACGCTGATCACTTTCACGAGTATTATTTTTCTCATCGTCTTACAATTTATATATTTGCAAATAATTTCAGATTATGCAGAGAGGTGGTGTGGATATTTTTCCTGATCGCGATGCATACTGTTACGTCGAAGGAAGTGCTTCTAAACATCGTGTTGCTGAGGACCATTTGTATCATTGCATGGCCCTTTTCAGCACTTCTCATAATTTCACTTGGAGTCGTTGGAATTTGTTAGCTGGAAGGAGAAAAATGGTTTTGCAGATGAGAGAATATTTAGATCGCAAAAATCTTGTAAGTATATCAATATTTCTCTTAGTAGTTGACAAAATAAATGTGTTTATTTCACCTCTCGTTTATATAAAATAGAATATTATGTTTTTTTGCGTATTAAAAAAGATTTTGAGCCATGGATCGATTTTTATATGGTTGAGCGTGAATATTTTTGTGTGAGAACAGGATGGAGGGTTCGTGATACGTGGTAAATTTATCTAGCCACTAGCTGAAGTACCCGGCGTTGCCCTGGCATTTATTACAGTACGTTATTAGCCCAGAAGATGAATTATATGTATTCCTGCCTTGCGGTGGGGCCTAACCCTGCTCCACTTGTTGGAAAAAGTTGGAAAAAAGAAGTCGCTTCTGGAAGCCATATAAAACAATTTGCAACTACCATTATTTCGCACTTCTATTATAATAGACTTAAATTTGCCTAAATTCCAAGACCGCCATTGGACTGAGCTGCAACCCCCTTTTAGGGGGTACCAGCCGCCATTGGTTTGTGTATCAAAATCTACAGCTTCTTCGTATTAATGGAACTTTGCACAGATGACCTTCGAAGCTGGAGGAAAATTAAAATTACTTCAAGCCCCCTTTCCTAACCCCTAGAGTAAAACTCAAATGTGCGCAAATATATCGAAAGTAATCAATTGTCGAAAGGGAATCAATCAAATTACGCTCAGAGTGATGGGACGTTGCCGGGAGCATGCTACAATGCATTTTCAACGGCCCATAGCAACGACGATCGCTGAGAAGAGGGTAGGGCGGAGAAGCAGCCAGGTAAGCCAGGGCAAGGCAAGGCAGGGTGAATCGGAAAGTGGGGCGGTGTAGAAAGGAGAGAGTGGAGGTGGGCGGAGGGAAGAAACAGGGGAAGGAAGGCGCGACAGGTCAGGGCGTGGATTCACCATACATAGAATCCACTCCTATTTCGTCTAATAGGTGATTGTTATTAATAAATACCCGAGAAACGCACCATACCTCAGCTAGAATACCATATTAATATTTTAATGAAATGAATTTGCAGGAAATCTGGACCAAAATATTTTTTATTTTGCAGGACAATCACAGCACTTTATTTTCATCTCCCCAGCGAGCACTTCTAGTTGATTGTACTGAAGTTTCACAATCGTTTACAGAGGAAGGTTTACCCGGCATGAAGGTAAAAGAGATTTCAATATTGACCGCTTACCATTTAATATTCTTATTTAATAATAAACATTTTTTTCTTTTACAGTTCTATGCTGATTTATTGCAACTTGTTGAAGATAACGCCACGCCAGCGGCTAAAAAGAAATATAAAAATATTTCTTTCAAAGTTGTCGAAACAGTATTTCAGCTCCTGAAAAAGACACGTGTGCTAAGTTACTCATGAATATGTTCAATGAAGTTTTCGACACACACACACACGCGCACGCACGCACGCACGCACACACACACACACACACACACACACACACACACACACACAATCTGCTCCCTTAGTGATACTCTGTTTCTGTTTCTTCATAATTGCAATGATTCTCAATTACTCATATGCTTGACATAGTAATCATACCTTCATACAAAATAATTAAAACATACTAATTCCGATCTTCCGTAGCATTAAATTGAACATGGAATAGGGACAAAGGAAAGTGAATAAAACAATATCAAGTGTAACTGATACAGGCTTTATTTTTTATAACAATATACTGTTCTCTCCGTACACTAGTAACATACAACCAAGAAAGCTGTTCAATAATAGTTCATTCCAAGAATAGTCCAATAATAGTTCATGATTACATTTTGAAGTTCATCCATCGAATTTTTTTTGCTTACCAAGTGGTCCCAAAAAGTGCCCTTCTGTTTTCTCTTTGTGTTTCAATTTTAATCTGGACTACAAATGAATGTGCTCATGATCTTAGCATCTCATTTGATAAGGAATTCAGTTTTTCATGGACGACAAATGTCTAATTTCCTTGGCAGTTTTTTTGTGTAAATGGTAAAGATAAAACATTGAATAGAAATAATTAAGTAAATTGAAAAATAATTTTATTGAAAAGCCATTAAAGACTAAAATATTGAAGTGGGCACACAGTGTGCATTTGAAACTGCATTAGTATTTATGTCGATTTCTTGTTGAATAAAGCTTATGTCCATTATTGGACATGCTTTTCTTTGTTGTATGTTACTAGTGTACTGAGAAAAGTAATTGTTATAAAAAAATAAAGGCCTGTGATCAGTTACACTGATATTATTTACTTTCCTTTTGTCCTATCCATTTCATTAATGCATACAGGAAGATCTATACGTAAGCTTCCGCGGCTCTAATCCATGAATTCTCGGCCTTTATCGGGAAACGCCGCGTCGTTGGCTGGGGTGCCGACGTTTCGCCTGACATGTCGCAGGCTTCCTCAGAGCAGTGGCGAGGAAGGTGTTAACGTTAAAGGGAAGACGTCACTGCACTGAGGAAGCCTACGACATGTCAGGCGAAACGTCGGCACCCCAGCCAACGACGCGGCGTCTCCCGGTTAGCCGAGAATTCATACAGTAAAATCGGAATTAGTAATGTTTTAATTATTTTGTATGAAGTATGATTACTATGTCAAGCATTGTAATTGAGAGTCATTGCAATTATGAAGAAACAGAGAGTATCACTAAGGGTGCAGATTGTTTTCTTGTTTGTTTCTTTGTTTGTTTGTTTGTCTGTTTGTTTGTTTGTCTGTCTGTGTGTGTTTGTCTGTTTGTTTGTTTGTTCGTCTGTTTGTTTGTCTGTTTGTTTGTTTGTCTGCATGTCTGTCTGTTTGTTTGTCTGCTTGTTTGTTAGTTAGTCTGTATGTTTGTTTGATTGTCTGTGTGTTTGTTTGTTTGTCTGTCTGCCTATCTGTCTGTTTGTTTATTTGTTTGTCTTTCTGTCTGTCTGCCTGTGTGTTTGTTATTGTCTGTTTGTTTGTCTGTTTGTTGGTTTGTTTGCGTGTGTGTGGTGTGTGCGTGATTTTTTTAGTTAAAAGTATTTGTTGCAAGACCAGCACATGCAATATTTTTGGTTCTCTTGTAAGTGTGTTAGTATCTGTAGGTGTGCATGTCAGTGTAAAACGTTTTCCTGAAAACTGTGTTGTAATTTGTATGTACATTTTTATGTCCTATTGTATAAGAAAAATTGTAATTATGTGAAATATTGATAGTATGGATTCAGAAAGCACTTAAGCACAACTATTTTATTTTTTTTCTGAATGATCACAATGAAGTTTAAAGGAGCAGGAAAAGTATATTGTTATAAAAAATAAAGGCCTGTATCAGTACACTGATATTGTTATTTACTTTCCTTTGTCCTATCCATTTCATTTAATGCGTACAGGAAGATCGGAATTAGTAATGTTTTAATTATTTTGTATGAAGTATGATTACTATGTCAAGCATTGTAATTGAGAATCATTGCAATTATGAAGAAACAGAAACAAATTATCACTAAGAGAGCAGATTGTTTGTTTGTTTGTTTGTTTGTCTGTTTGTCTGTCTGTCTGTCGGTGTGTGTTTATTTGTCTGTCTGTTTGTTTGTTTTTCTGTTAGTTTGACTGTCTGTTTGTTTGTCTGTTTGTGTGTCTGTTTGTTTATTTAATTTTCTTTGTTTGTAATTGAGACTCATTGCAATTATGAAGAAACAGAAACAGAGTTCCACTACGGGAGCATATTGTTTGTTTGTCTGCGAGTTTATATGTGTGTTTGTTTTCTGATTGTTTGTCTGCCTGTGTGTATGTTTGTCTGTTCGTGTGTTTGTCTGTTTGTCTTCCTGTCTGCCTAACTGTTTGTTTGTTTGTCTTTCTGTCTGTGTGCCTGTTTGTTTGTTTGTCCGTCTGTTTATGTCTGTATGTTTTTTGTTTGTTTGTTTGTCTTTCTGTCTGTCCGTTTGTTTGTTTATTTTTTTGTTTGTCTGTTTGTTTATTTGTTTTTTGTATGTATGTTAGATTGATAATTTGTTTGTTTGTTTGTCATTTTGTTTGTTTGTTTGTAATTGTAATTGAGAATCATTGTAATTATAAAGAAACAGAAACAGAGTATCACTAAGGGAGCAGATAGTTTGTCTGCCTATCTATGTGTCTGTTTGTTTGTTTTTTTCAGTTTGATTGTTTGTCTGTCCCTCTGTTTGTTTGTCTGTCCGTTTGTTTGTCTGTCCGTTTGTTTGTTTGTTTGTAATTGTAATGAGAATCATACCAATTATGAAGAAACTGATACAGAGTATCACTAAGAGAGCAGATAGT